GCTTGGAGCGCACGTACGAGCGCTGCCCCCGTCATGATATCAAAATCGTGCTTGGCGACTTCAATGCCAGGGTGGGCAAAGAAGGGATCTTTGGAACCACCGTCGGAAAATTCAGCCTCCACGACGAAACGTCCGACAACGGATTGAGGCTGATCGACTTCGCCGGGGCCCGAAACATGGTAGTATGCAGTACTAGGTTAAAGCATAAAAAGATCCATCAAGCTACGTGGCTGTCTCCGGATCGAAAAACGAGAAACCAAATCGATCATGTTGTGATAGACGGAAGGCACGCTTCCAGTGTTTTAGACGTACGCACACTCCGAGTCCCAAACATCGACTCGGACCACTATCTTGATGCAGCCAAGATACGCACCCGCCTCTGTGCAGCAAAAAATGTGCGCCCAAATTTGCAAGGAAAGCTTAACGTCGAAAAGCTGCAATCACAACAGACAGCCAGCGCTTTCGCTGCTCGACTCTCACAACTGCTCTCTGAGACCACTCTTCAACAAACCGACATATTCGAGCAGTGGAACCGCAATTCCCGCTCATTAAGTACCGCCGCCGAAGAAGTAGTCGAATTTTAGCGAGCCCGAAAGAACAACTGGTACGATGAGGAGTGTCAGGAAGCTGCAGAGAAAGACGATGCCGCCTACAGGGCCACGCTGCAATCAGGCGCAAAGCGCGCTATGCGGGCCCGCTATAGGGATCTGAAGAGGGAAGCGAGACGTATTTGCCGCAATAAGAAGGGAGAGGTCGAAATACGTGATTGCGAAGAGCTTGAAATGCTGGCCGACAGGAAGAATTCCCGAAAATTTTGCCAGTAGATAGGCGACTTAGGGAAGGTTTCAAGACCGGGGCGTACTCCTGTAAGAACAATAATGGCGACCTAGTAATTGATGTCCAGAGCGTACATAAATTATGGAGGGAACACTTTTCCGCCCTACTAAATGGTAGCAGCACGGAAAGTTGTGGAGAAGAAGAACCCGAGCCCGCAGTCGACGATGACGGAGTCGACGTTCCAACGCCTGACTATGACAAGATACGTATAGCAATAACGCGGCTGAAAAACAACAAAGCTGCTGGAGCTGACAGCCTGCCACCTGAGCTATTCAAGTACGGCTTCGAGGAGTTGATAAGGTGCATGCATCAACTCTTGTGCAGAATATGGTCAGATGAACGAATGCCCTACGACTGGAATTTCATGTGCTCTACCCAATCCACAAGAAAGTTTACCCCGCCATTCGCGCCAACTACCGCGGGATCAGACTTCTAAGCATAGGTTACAAGGTCTTATCGGGCGTAAGACTGAAGCCCACTGTCAATGTACTGATTGGGCCTTATCAGTGTGGCTTTAAACCCAGCAAATCCACCATAGACCAGGTATTCACAATACGCCAAATCTTGGAAAAGACCCGCCAGAAAAGGATCGCCACTCAGCACCTATTTTTTTACTTCAAAGCCGCTTTTGGCAGCACTAAGAAGAGTTGCCTATACGCCGGTATCTCTGAATTTGGCATCCCCTCAAAACTCATACGGCTATGTAAAATGACGTTGAGCAATACCACTAGCTCCGTTTGAATTGGGAAAGGCCTCTCCGAGCCGTTCGCCACCAAACGGGGTTTCAGACAGGGCGACTCCCTTTCATGTGACTTCTTTAATCTGATGTTGGAGAAGATAATAAGAGCTGCAGAACTGAACCGCTCAGGAACAATTTACTACAAGAGCGTGCAATTGCTTTCTTATGGCGATGACATAAACATCATCGGTAACAAAAACTGCGAAGTCTGTTCTGCCTCTTCCAAGTTGGATAAGGAAGCAAATCGAATGGGTCTGCTGGTAAATGAGGACAAGACGAAGTATCTCCTGTCATCAAACAAACAGTCAGCACATTCGCGCCTTGGCACCCACGTCACTGTTGGCAGTTACAATTTCGAGAAAGTAGAAAATTTCGTTTATTTGGGAACCAGCATTAACACCGATAATAATGTCAGCATTGAAATCAAACGCAGAATCACTCTTGCCAACAAGTGCTCCTTTGGACTGAGTAGGCAATTCAGGAATAAAGTCCTCTCCCGACGTACGAAAACCACGCTCTATAAGTCACTCATCATGCCCGTGCTGGTATATGGCGCAGAAGCATGGACAATGACAACAACCGGTGAGTGTTTTAGAGAAAGATTTTGCGGAAGATTTACGGGCCTTTACGTGTTGGCGACGGCGAGTACCGCAGACGATGGAACGATGGGCTGTATGATCTTTACAACGACATGGACATAGTGCAGCGAATTAAAATACAGCGGCTCCGCTGGCTTAGCCATGTCGTTCGAATGAACACCGACGCTCCAGCTCTGAAAGTATTCAACTCGGAACCCGCTGGAGGTAGCAGAGGAAGAGGGAGGCCCCCACTGCGATGGAAAGATCAGGTGGATAAGGACTTGGCTTCACTTGGTGTTGCCAATTGGCGTCAGTTGGCACAGAAGAGAATCGACTGGCATGCTTAGCTGAACTCGGCCAAAGTCGCTTAGGCGGTTACAGCGCCAAAGAAGAAGAAGAAGAAGAAATGTAACAAAAGAACGCGAAGAATTTTCAACAGATCTATGATCTAAATATGGGCAGAAAACTCATTCTTTTGTACAATTTATGGGAGAAAAAGAACTTGTCCAAAGAAGATTTGAAGGATTTTGGAGGGGTAGATCTATTTAAAGAAGCAAGTGAATTTCTACCAGCGATAAATGAGTGTATTTCTAGTTTGACTGCTTTTCCATGCACTATAGCGACTGCGGAGTGATCGGAGTGATAAAACAATTTGTAGAATAAAAACCTGGCTCAGAAGCACAAGGGGAGAATAAAGGAAAACTCGCGAGATGATACAGGAGGTAATAATCGAAAAGTTTGCTATGAAAAATAAAACATATATCAAAAAAATCAACAACTATATTTCGTTTTCCAAAATTCCTGAAAGTGGTTTCGAATTCTGCACAAATTTTCATGTCAGTAAATGATTTCAGAGGATAAATTTATTAATATTAATAAAAAGTCAAATTCCTACCATTTGGATATGACCCATATATAGATGTAGACAATGTTTTTTTTATCGAATAACGTAAAATTATGACCTCCTTTTGTGTTTTCTGTTTTCGGCCGGAAGTTGGTTAAACTGACCGAAAGTCAATTTTTTTTTTAATTATTAAATTCGGGTTCTGAGTATTAAAATACGTAACTTTTGTTTGAAACTTTTTATCGGAGGATACTTTTTCAACCTTTAAATTACATTCGAACTTCAACTCATCGTGGACTTCTTTAATGAGTGAACATGTTTTTATTGAAAAAAGAAAACATATGAATTACCAAGTCGGGGATCCTCTATCTTTTGATCGTATTACTGACTTCCGGTTTCAACCGGAAGTAGGTTAAACAGACCGGAAGTGCATTATTTTAACCAGGAGTCTATTCCAGTAAAATATTTCCGACAAAGTATTTGTGAGTTGTGGACGTTGTAGTAAGACAATCTTTTGGAAAATTTTAGATCATAGTTTTTCCAACAAAGGAGAGTGTAGAAACTAAATTTTATCGAAAACGGATGAACTTTAACATTTCCGCCCACAAGGGAGGAGGGCATGGCAATTAGCCCACGTATACCATATTTTATGATTCTTTATTCCAGAAAATAATTTAGAGCATATGTTACAGGGAAATCGGTTCATGTTTACTATTTTTGTCAACAGCTTATATGGAGTCGCATCCATAGTCTAAGCAAAACAAACGTTGCTACCATTCTATGCAAACTCTCAATATTATGCACGATAATAATAATAATAATATAATATATTGGCGCTTACACATATGTTAGTGTTTGGCCGAGCTTCTCCTCCGACTTGTGACGTGCGCCTTGATGTTGTCACACAAAGCGGAGGGACCTACAGTTTTACGCCGATTCCGAACGGCGATTGTATTTTAATGAGAAGCTGTTTTTCATGGCAGAAATACACTCGGAGGTTTGCCATTGCCTGCTGAGGGACGATCGCTGTTAAGAAAAAACCTTTTTTCTATATTTTTTTGGGATGCTGCTTTGACCAGGGCTTGAACCCAGGTGTTGATGAGTGAAAGTGCGCACTGCTTACCACTACACCACAGCGGCCGTCATATTATTATGCACGATACCTTAGTAAAAAAGTTTTACGTTACGTTTCCAGATTTTTTTGGTGTATTGATGAGCTTTTGTGCTTTCAACACATGGGTAAAATGTGATTGTGTAAAGGCCGGTCCACATAGAACTTTCGCGTTGGCTTTGGCGTTGGCGTTGGTTTGACAGAACGCAGGTTAAAAGTATGCTTGCTACAATGAACGCTTGGCAGCGAATGCTTGGGCCACTAAATTAACATACTAACGACAGATAAATTAATATTTCATATCAATAGTTGCATTAAAACTGATATTTATTGCCCGCACTTGATTAAAAAGGAAAAATATTTCACAGAATTGTATTTATTTGCAACAGCAGGCGAGCGACGCACGCGAAAAGTTTAGAGTTGGCCATCTTTTTGCTTTGTGTTGGCGTGAGCACTGTCGAATTTTGGCTATGTGGGCGGCTGCATTTGAATTCATGTATTCATAGTCAGCTGTTGAAGCGACGCCGACGCCAACGCCAACGCAACGCAAAGTTTCTATGTGGACGGGGCTTAAGTGTGATGGAAACTAATGTAGATATAAATGTACATGCATATGTTGCGTAGGTGTGTAGTATGCTTTCAAATACGAGAGCTTACATATATATTTACATAAATATTTATATTTGTGGCTATTGGGCTGCCTTGCCGAATGCGGCGGCATCGAGTATTTGTTGTGCCATTCATTGTGTGTTGCGATCATTTTTGGCAAAAAAATACCGACAACATGCAGACATTTTTTTTTAGAGCGCCGAAGCTTTGCTGTGCTGAGTAGTGAGCCGTGCTTGCAGCTTCAGGCTCTAACAGCAGCTCTGGCTATAAATACCAGTCTTTGGACCATTTTTATACTTAATTCAGTACACACCTTCGCCAAAAACGGTTCATTTAAGCAAACGGTTTGGTAGTCTTTCGGATACGATCACTCCATGAGCTGCGATCGTTACTACTGTATTCGCCAATATCAATCCAATCCAATAGTCAGTTCAACATACTAATCCATAACCTAAATATTTCAATTGCAGACGTATCAATCCAACAAAAAAAAATATAATATAACAATAAAAATTAGATACTAAAAAACTATAATTAGCGAGGCCACTTACCATCATCTCTATTAGTTAAAAAACCCTAAAAATTCAAACGTAATCAAATAGTTGCAAAGCAGATTACTCTACACACGTTCATACCTACATAACTGCATAGTTGAGTAACAAAATGAAAGCATTTCTGGTGATTGTTTTGGCCTGGATCGTATGCGTCGCCGCTCAGGATGATAAGAAAGCCAGTGAAAGTAGCAGTGATAGTGAAATCAAAATTTACAAGCGCCTTATACCGGCCGATGTGTTGCGAGGTAAGAATTAGAAACAAACAAAACAAAAACAAGTAAGAAAGTCTAAGTTCGGGCGGAGCCGAACATTAAATACCCGGCGCAAGTATTAAATATATGTTTTCCTCCTTTCCGAAAGCTACCGCTACATGATAAGCCGGGGTGTATACATTTTAAGTAAATTAGCGTCCTTAAATTTCGAAATATTGAAATTTCAAGCATTTCTGAAATTTACCGTTATATGAAAAGCGGCCTCAATTTTAGTCCGATTTCAACAATTTTCAGCGGTTTGTTTTTATGTGGCAAGCACAATAACCATACCGAGTTTGGTTCAAATTGCTAGAACGGTTAGCGAGATACATATATGTGATCATAAGTGGGCGGTGCCACGCCCATTTTCCAAAATTGTATCATAAGCGTATTGCTTGGTAAAAAATTGTTGCAACCATCAATTTTGAATAAATTAGCTTTAATATTTACTGATTTATCGAGGATTTCGTATTTTTCTAAATTACCGTTATATGGGATGTGGGCGTGGTTATTGTCCGATTTTAAAAATTTTCGGCCATTTGGTATGTTGTAGCAGGACCAAAAACTGTGCCAAGTTTGGGAGAAATTGGTGCAGCGGTTACCAAGATATACACATGTAACCATAAGTAGGCGTGGCTACGCCCATTTGCCAAAATTTTTTAATATTCTTATTTTTCGTCTAAAACTCATTGTAAATATCAATTTTGAGTGATCTTCAGTAGTTACTAAAATATCGCACTTTTCGTATTTCTGAAAATTACCGTTATATGGGAGGTAGGCGTGGTTATTGTCCGATTTCGCCCATTTTCAATACCATCCGTCCTATGTCCAAAAGAAGTCCACGCACCAAGTTTCGTTACGATATCTCAATTTTTACTCGAGTTATCGTGTGCACAGACGGACAGACGGACGGACGGACGGACGGACAGACAGTCACCGCTTAATCGATTTCTCTTTTCATTCTGATCATTTATGTATACATTTGTCTATATCTATCTCGATTCGTTTTGCCTGTTACAAACAACCGTTATGTGAACAAAGTTATAATACCCTTGTGCACAAGTGCGCTCGGGTATAAAAAAACAGTCAAATGTAGTTAAACAGTGCCTGATACGTAGAAAACATAAGCAAAGATTATTATGTAAGTCTCGCCGCCAAGTATGCAAAAACGGTATAAAACAGCGCATGACTGTTCAGTGAGCTCAGCTAGCTCCGTTTTCGATTTTCCGCTTTCTTTATGTCGACAAACACTGCGCTCCAGAAAAGGTAATACCACCACTCAAGTGGTCTACATTAGAAGGCGTATGCGGAAGGAGAATGTTTGACAAACGAAATTTAATTTTGATTTTACGATATACATAAATGCCCATGAATGGGCATCAGATATCATTATTATTATTAATCTTAACGGTTAGTCTCCTCCCTTCCATCCAGTCTCAGGCCGTATGGCATAAGGAACTTATTTTTTACAATATTTTACTTAGTTTACCTGTCCTGGTTTCTGTAATCCAGTGTTGCCAAAAAAAAAATTACCAAATTCCTCAAAAACAAAGAAAAATCCTCAAAATCCCAACAAATTACTCAAAATTTTCTTATTACAGATATGAGTATTGTGTGCTGCATACTATTTACAGGTACTTAGTATAAAAATTAATTACATTCTCCAATTCAATTAGTACATTTGTTCTTGCGATTAAAACAAAGTATCACCGTTATTTTTTATGCCTTGGTTTGTATATACTATTGCTGCAACTATATCAGTGCTCAATCTGGTCCTCAAGTCAGTCCTACACATTTCTAAACTACTAAATATACGTTCTACTGAAGCATAAGAAAAGGGCTATATTAGTAATGCAGATATAATCTTTTTTAATTGGGATACTTATATGAACCTGAAGAATATTAGTGGTATTCATCTAAACCGATAACTTTATCAAGCAGATAATCTTATAGATTTACGCACTCTGTTACATGAACGACCCACACTCTCTTTTCGTTTACACATGCGACAATAGTCGTGTTTTCTTTGGTTATAGAGCTCAGTATCACTAACGTTATACTACTAGCACGGGGATAAAGAAATTATAGAAACTACCTAACTAAATTGGAAAAAATTTTATTTACGAGATAATATCTATTTAAATCAATATACATATAACATAAAGGCTATTTATTTGAAGCAAGTTAAAAGAAACAATGGCAGAATGTCTGTTTGTGTATGAATTCATTTGTCTCGGCTACCAAACTTTGCGGCCAAATTATCAGTGAAACAAAACAAACAGACGGGATAATAATTGAACCAGATCTCTATCACGATCATATCGTTGTTGTTGAATTTGCGTGCAAAATTTGTATGCGGATCCCGATTATTGCCCAAGAAAACATAGCTAGAGTTGCGACAGAGTTGCATTGGCTTCAGTTTACCTAGTTTATTCAGTGAAATCGCTGGCTAAATTTATCAGAAATGTGTGAACGAGTTTCCATACAAATTTTGACAGTTCATTTATAAGGTTTACACAATTATAAGTTTATACGGTTTACAATGTATTTATAAGGTTTGATGAATACCCTTATTGTAATTCAAAACTGTTTTCCTATAATTTTCTGGATCTAATGAAAAATCAATATGAATATCGTTATGATTGAACAATGCGTGTTCCCTCCATTCGATAGCGAGATTTTGCAAATTCAAAATAAGTTGAAAGGTGACAGGTAATAAGATCAACGGAAATAAGGTCAATTGACTTTATTTCCCACCCTGGTGCGAAATAAAGTCAATTGACATTATTACCCTTTTAAAAACGAAATAAAATTCATTGACATAATTTCTCTTTCAAACATTAAATTTGCTTAGCTTCGCGGTGGCCCGCATCAGCGCGCCACTCCACGCACGCCGCGCCAGCGCGAACGGCGCGGCCCCCACACATTTCACATTTTTATGTTTGTAAGTTATTGGAAGCAGGAATGCCAACTTGGCTCAAACCGTGCCATTTGTCCCTATTTTACTTCAAATGGCACTTAATTTTTCAATTTGGCACAAAGTGCCCAAATGGCACTTTTGTAAAAAAATAACATTTCAATTCATTTTTGTGAAATCCTTTGCGTGCACTTCTTTTTCTCAACTAAAATTTTCAAATTTATAAAGGCTATTCAACTGGTTTATCTTATTTTATCATTGCACTTTTGTTTTGAAAATGTGGCCTTATTTGATTGCTAAATGTGAATGATTAAAAGGAATGACACCTTTTTTGGCACTTTTATTTTTCTATTTGGCACATTTTGGCCCTTTTTTATCCTCAATATATACTAACCTCAATGTAACTAAGGATAGTTGGCAGCCCTGATTGGAAGATATCTGCTGTGTTTTGGCAACAACTTGTCTGCAGTAAAAAAGCATATAATTTGTGTTTCAAAAGTGTGTGAAAACCAATCAATCAATTACAGTATATTTTGCTTCGCTGCCTTTACGATTAAGTGCACATTTAAGATACCTACCCCAAAATGCGCATCAGCGGCATTATTTTCACCACTTATAAGGAAACTGTTCCGATAGATGCATTCAAAATACCTGCATATTAGCGATACCTGTCCTAAAAATTGTGCAACTATTATCAATTATCAAAGAAATTATTACGTTTAACTGCACTGGCTCTACACGTACCCTAATTTTAAAAGGTTTTATTAATTTTGCTCATCTCGCAGAACAACGAAAACGCCTATCATTTTATGTAGTTATATAGATAATTAGATACCATTCGTAAAAAATTTGCAGTAATTTCTATGTGGGAAGTGCTCCTCCATTATTTGGTTTCATAGGAATTCGGATACCTTCCTCATTGAAGTAGTAAAGAAAATTCGCTTAAGTGCTTTTTTCGGTTAAGCGCACAAGTTTTTCGTGCAAAGAAGGATGGGCAGCTAAGCAAAATATACTGTAACTTATATGATCTCGGTTCGGATATTAAATAATCAATAATTGTTTATACCCGCATTTTGGCACATTGGCTCGTTGAATGTGCCATCTAATAAATAGTTTCGTCGTTCTCCTTAGCTGCTTTTAAATGATGTCGTCACAAATTGCTGGTGGGGACATGAATACAGTGTAAGAAAATTCTTTTTCTATAATTGTTTCCTTATAGAAAGGTTGGTTTCTTTTCCACCTTAGAAATTCCGAATTCGTTCAAAATATGCTAATTTAAAACACAGAATTCTTTCACTGTTCCTCCGAGGTTTTTGGACATGGACTGTTTCTTCAATTAAATAGTGTTCGATTTATTTTTGTGGAAACGAAACATGTTTTGCAAGTTATGGATCATTTCTACACTCTTTCTTCAAATATTTCTCGTATTCCAGCTGTGAGCAGGCGTTTAGTTTTTCGCATCGTGTTTTTACATATTCGTAATTTAAATTTTTTTAATAAAATCAATTGGTGGTAGTTCATGATTGTGTGTGGATTAATATCACAACACTGAGGATTTGGCAATAACCTTTTTCATCTACTAAAAAACAAGACTTACGGCGCAATGTTTATTGTAAGAACAACATTTTTTTCTATGAATCGACATACCTTAAATATTGTTGACGCTATTTCCGTTTGAATGAGGAAATAGCGTCAATGACTTTATTTCCAAATTTTTGTTGACTTTATTTCGCTTTTGGAAAGGCAATAATGTCATTTGACTTTATTTCGCACCAGGGTGGTAAATAAAGTCAATTGACCTTATTTCCGTTGGTATTGTTACCTGTCACCAAGTTGAAAATATAACGATGAAATGAAAAATATTATCGATAACATTTTGAATATTTAGCAGCAAATTCAGATGTGCTTAAGAGCGTAAAACACCACACAAGCGGCTTGACAAACCAAGCGAAATATCCCTTTGCTTAAAGCTATTTATGTTGTGTATGGGGATGTTTGAAGGTTTAACAAGCCGTTTGAGGGGAATGTGAACAGAAATCTAAATTTTTGGATTTTCTCGCCGCCATGTTGACGTTTG